AGCCATGTCTCCTGCTCTTGAGAGTCATGGCCCCATGAAGAAGAGGTCCTGTTGGGCCGGGCAGTGTGGTGTCCCCTGCTCCCCAGGGCCTGGCACTTCAGCGAATGTCTCCTCTGTGGGGTGCTTGTGGCCTACTGCTCTGTGGCCTGGCCCTGTTTTCCTTCAGGCCACTCATCTGCAGTGGCTCTCTTTGCCTTTTGAGGGCAGGGTTTGGTCCGTGGGTTTTTGGTGGCCAGTCTGGGGCCGCCTTGGCCTGAGTGAGTCAGACCAGCTAGTTGTCAGAGGGGCACTGTCACCGAACCATAGGTTGTCCCCTGAGAAGCTTCTGTGGGTAGGCGGGCCCTGCAGTCTGACAAGATGTCTGCCCCCAGCCCACTGCTGGGGCTGCACTCGGACTGGTGTGTGTGGTTACCTTCCCTCTTCCGGGGGCAGGAGTCACTGTGGAGGGGTGCTGGCCCCTCTTGGGGCTGCTTGCACACTGCCAGGCTTGTGGCACCACTTTGGATGAGCTTGGGCCTAGGGCGTATTGGAGGGGTTAGGTTTGCAGGAGGACGCAGGGGTGGGGCTCCAGGTGCCGCCAGTGGGGATGTGCAGTGGGCAGGGAGCGCTCCTGTGGGGCCGGCAGGCAGGCAGGCGGGGGGGGGCCGCAGGAAGAGTACGGGAGTGAGGCGCCCGGTGCTGGCAGGGTGCGGGCCGGTCCACTGTGGGAGGGATGCTGTAACCGCCCCGGAAAACCCCTGCAGAGGCCGGGGTGGGGTGTCGGGGCCCAGGCCATTATTACTGTGCTGGTTCCTGCAGGTTTCTGTGTATCTTGGCTGGGGGGGTGGCAGAGGGAAATGGCACCTGCCAGCTCTTTTGTTCTCTGAAAAGTCTCCCAAGGATCCCTGCCCCTCCAGTGTGGGCTCTGAGATTAGTAAACAGCCCTCCCTCCCGTATACCCCAGGCGCTTTCAACCTGCTGCTGCTTTGCTGTATCTCCGTGAGGCTCTTGTGCGGTCTCCATTCCCTGCCACCCTCCAGCTCCCCCAGAGCTGAGCCACTGGTTTTAAAGTTTCAGGGGCTCCACCCCACTGATTGGTAGGGCCTGTCTGGTTTTCAAAGCCCGATGTTACGGTGACTCATCTTCCCAGTGCAGATCCCGGGTGCCTGGTGTGGGGTCTGCTCTTCTCCCCTCTCTGCACCTGGTGCATTTCTCCCTCCTGCGGACAGCCCTGCGGGTCCTTTGGGCTCCAGACCATGTCCACCCTTCCTGTCCCTCTTTGATGTGCCCGTTCTCTACATTGAGCTGTAGAGAGTCTGTTCTGCCAGTCTTTGGGTCCTTTTCTGGGTTGTTTACACTCATGTCGGTGTTAGCTTAGTGTAACTGTGGGATGAGGTGAGCCTAGGAGCCTCCTACTTTGCTGTCTTCCCTGGAAGTAAGATTTAGCATAATTCTTAAAGGCCCTAAGATTTTCAGAATGGTCCGCGAGCATTCAGCTTAAAGTCACCAACTGCATTGGCCCTGACAAGACGATCAGCCTGTCCTTGGAAGCTTGGAAGACAGGCACTGACTTCTCCTCTCTAGCCAGGAAAGCCCTAGATGGCATCTTCTTCCTGTGGGAGGCTCTTGCATCCACACTGAAAATCTGTGGGTCAGTGGAGCCGCCTTCGGTAATGACCTCAGCTCCATCTTCTGGATCACGTGCCGCAACTTCGCCTTGCACTTTTACGCCCTGGACACGGCTTCCTTCCTTAAACCTCAGGAACCGATCTCTGCTAGCTTTAGACTTTGCTTCTGCAGCTTCTTCCCCGCTCTCCACCTTCACGGAATTGAAGAGGGTCAGGGCCTCGCTCTGGGTTCGGCTTTGGCTGAAGGGAATGTCGGGGCTGGTCTGATCTTCTGTCCAGAGGACTGACACTTTCTCCGTATCAGCAGTAAGCTCTTTGGCTTCCTTATTGTCTGTGTGCTCAGGGTGCATGTGCAGTTTCCTTCAGGAACCACCTTGGTATTCGGAACTTGGCTGTTGGACACAAGCAGCTTAGCTTTGGCCAGCCTCCGCTTTCAGCATGCCTTCCCCTTGTGTGAACACGTAAAGGCCGCTGGAGCGTTGTTACTGGGCCCCTCTCTGGGAATGGGCCGAGGAGAGGGGGAGACAGGGCTTAAGCTGGCCGGCTTGTGGTGCCCCAGAGCAGTTAAAGAGTAGAACCGAGGATCACTGGTCACAGATCACCATGACCAATAATAGGAACGACGAAGTTTAAGAAATGGTGAGAATCGTGACAGAGACATGAAGTGCAGCCCCGGGTGGGAAGAGGGTGCCATGGACGTGCCGACGCAGGGTCGCCACCCGCCTTTGGTTTGTGAAATGCCCCATGTCTGTGGGGTGCGGTAAGTCGAGCTCTGCCTGTGTTTTGGGTGCCCCTGTGCTCTGGCCTCCACCGGTGCCCGTGACACGCGGGGCTGCTAGTCCCACGCCCGTTCTGTGCTGTCTCTTCGTTTGGCCTTCAGCACGTGCTGGGACTCGCCTGCTGCGGATCTGTGTGCGTACCCCACCTTGGTTGGCTGCGCGTTGGCTCCGGAGACTAATGCTTTCATCAGATTTGGGAAGTTTGGGCCTTTCTTTCTCTCTCCTTTTCTTTTTTCTTTCTGTCTCTCTTTCCTTTTCTTCCTCTCCTTTCTTTCTTCCAAGATTTTATTTATTTGAGAGACAGAGAGCGCACAAGCAGAGGGAGAGGGAGAAGGAGGCTTCCTGTGGAGCAGGGAGCCCGACACAGGACTTGATCCCAGGACCCCAGGATCATGACCTGAGCCGAAGGCAGACGCTTCACCGACTGAGCCACCCAGGTGCCCCAGGGGCCTTCATTTCTTCTGAAACTGTTTTGGTTTTCTCGTCTCCGGGCACCCCCATTACACGTGTATGAGTCTGCTCGTTGACGCCCCACTGGTCTCTCAGGCTCAGTTCACTTTCCTGCATCTCTTTGTTTTCTTGGAACTGAACAGTTTGTGTTTATTTTCAGCTCCATTGATTTTCTGCCATGCTGGATGTGCTGCTGACCGCCGCCTGGTAGTTTCTGTTTATCGAAACACTGGGTGCAGATGTGTTCGCAGAGCTGCCTCGAAGTCTTGGTCAGCCGAGCCCCCCAGTTGGCACCTCTGAGGCGGTTTCTCCTTAACTTCCTTTCCCTGACTGTGGGTCACACTTCCTTGCTTTGAAAGTCTGAATTTTTTGTTGAATACTCAGTATTTTAGTTACTAAGTTGTAGCAGCTCTGATTTCTGAATTTTTTTTCCTCTCTGAGAGTAGCGATGGTGATGGTTTTATTTCCGGGGGTTTTTTAGTACCTGCGTTGGCCTGAATCTGAAGGTTGTCTTCCACATGCTGTGGGTGGCTGGTGTCTGAGCTCAGTTTTTTCTCCTTGTTCTCATTGTTTCTGGCTTCCCAGGGGCCACGCCTGCATCCACACAGCACAGATGTGTCGGAGGTTGTGCTTAAACACGGCCAGCTTGAACGTCCTCCGTGGTCTGTTCACAAGCGTGTGTGGGCTTGGAGTGCGCTCAGCTTGCAGGCCGTGCTCTGTGTCCTGGGACTCGTGGGACACCTGCACTTGCTCACGGGCTCTGTTGTGGGCAGGGATGTGGGGTGGACGCACTCTTGCCCTGTTGCTTGCCGGCAGAGGGCCATGGCTCAGGCTGGCTGGACCGCCTATTGCTGGGTCACCTCTCTGAAGGAGCACGCTGTAAATCCAGCAGCCCCTTCTGGCAGAAGCAGTGAGGCTGCGGGTTTTCATGGCCTCTCCGCCCTGGTCCAACCAGCTGTCAGCAGGGAGAGGGTGGGAGCAGCCTGGATAGGATGCCCCGACTTTGATAGAGCGCACTAGCAAAGCTCTGCAGTTTGTCGTAAGCCTTTGGTCACTTTCGGGAGGGCTGCTGTGATTGTTGATGAGAGTTTTGTCCAGCTTGGTGGCTGTTTTAGGGATGGGGTTGGTCGACCTCACTGTGCGTGTGATAGGGACTCCCAGGCTCACCAGTAATGCTATGTGGAGAGTCGCCTGGCACTGGACAGACAGGAGGGGCCCAGCAGCAGGAGTCAGGTGCCCAGCTGAGGTCTGGCCCTGGGAAGTGGCATTAGGAACAGAGTGAACAGATGGGAACAGGGTCAGCACGGGGTGGTTTTCTAAGATGAGCTCATCATGCGTACGTTTCGAACATCTGACATGGGAGCACAGGTCCAGAGATGCCGGAAGCTGTGCGGGGCTGTGGCTGGAAGCACCCAGAGCTACGGTGCAGACCTGTTGTGCCCTTAGGCAGGGCACCCTCACACCCAACTGAGAAAACACCTGTTACTCAGCAGCATATTTCAAACCCAGTGAGGGCGGGTCAGATAGCCTGGGAAAATATCGGTGTTGAGGTTGGATAGTGGGTACTGGGGTTTGTTGTTGTACCGTTCCCTTTTCTTGGGTGTGTGTTGGGAAATTGTTCTAACTAAAAGGTAAGGAAAGGAAGTAGGCACAAATAAGCTGTTTCCTTGGAACAAGAAGAAGAAGGCGGGAATAGAGCAAGATGGGAGCGTGCCGTGGAAATGCTGAGTAGTGATTGTGACCTTCTCCTGATAGTGGCGTGGGCGGGCATCTAGGACAGTATCTTTCTGTCTGGAAAACTCAAGAGAATCTTGAGAGAGAAGGTGCGTGTTTGGAAGCCAGTAGCCACCTTCTGCAGAGGCAGTTTCAAAAATGGTGGGGAGAGACTCCCTCAAAAGGGTTGTTGTAGGTGCACACCGTCTGGAAATACCTTAGTTTCAGAAGGTGGGGTCTCCCCACCGCACGCTTTGCTGAGCCACGTGGAGGTTCTATCACAGGGATGGGATGCTGGTTGTCCCCAGAGAAGTCGATGGTGTTTTTGGATCTCTGCCAGAAGATGCTGAACTTCATGGGGGTGTCAGAAGACTGTGTAACAGGCAGTCTGACGAGGGTGAGTGAGGTCCTGGGCTGGGCGCCTGATGCCCCTGTGCCCTCCGTGTCGCAGTCGGGGCGGTGCCGGTCCTCTCCAGAGACACCGCGTCGGGGAAGAAGGGCCACCACTTGAGCCAGGTGAAGACCCCGCACAACCCCCTGGACTCCAGCGCCCCACTGATGAAGAAGGGGAAGCAGAGGGAGGTCCCCAAGGCCAAGAAGCCAACCTCGTTGAAGAAGGTATGCGGTGAAAGCACGCGCTGGCAAACCTCACTTCCTGTCTGTGTTACATCTTAGAGCTCTTAGCGTTTTCGGTCCTAACGTTCGGTCTGCTGGAATGTGCTTTCTCGAGATGCGTGCGCGACTCTGGCAGTGACCCCCTCCCTGAGTGGGATGGCAGAGGGTACGGAGCAGGGCGCCTCCACTCCTGGAGGCGGGTTCTTTTTCTTTTAATACTCGGCAGGGATGCAGACAGAGGACCAGGAACGGGGGCCGTTGTGCTCTCCTTGTTCACCCTCGCTGCCCTCCTCCTCCCCTGGGCAATCTGGCTGGTGCTCCGATTCTGGAATGCGGGTTCTGTTGGGGCTGCCGCAGCCCCTGCTGTCTGGCCTGGGTCCTGCGTGCCCGGCTCTGCACACCTGGGGGACATGGGCCCGGCCCCTGGGGGAGGGAGGGCATGTCGCTGCTGTGAGGGCGCAAGAAGGCACGACGATGCCTGCCCGCTGAGGTTGGGTGGCTTAGTTTGCAGAAGGGCTTATTTTTAAGGACAAGTATTATTTAGGTATTTTAATCGCTTACTTCATTTTAAAGATTATTTTGAAAGAACGGCAGGAGAGAAAGCAGCAGCGTCTCCAAGAAAACGCTGTGAGCCCAGCTCTCGCCAGTGATGCCGTACTGGATGGTGAGAGCGGTGGTGACGAGGCCCTCGAGCCGGCCGACCCCTCAGGTACCGAGCGCGCTTGCTTGCTGCCCAGGGGAGCCCTGCAGCAGGGGCAGGGGTGGGCACGGCGGGGGAGCCCTGTGTGGCTTGAGGACTTGTCACCTTTGTCATCCTGCCGAGGGCCGCTCCAGACACGCTGCCCCGTGAGGTGCGCTCAGGCCTTCTCCACCCTCAGCCTGTGTGCCCAGCATGGGGGCGGCTGTGCCCTGACTCGCTTCTCCGGGGTGTTGCAGGAGGGCCGGAGGCGTCGCCGTGCTCTGCGCCCGTGCTGGAGGGCAGGTCAGAAGAGCTGCCGAGAGCGGAGCTCCAGAAGGAGGTGGAGGGCTGCCACCTCGTTCCCAACGGCGCTGGCTGCCCCAAGATCCACAGCCGGAGATTCCGGGAGTGAGTGACCACAGGGCCGTGCCCGCGTGGGGCCTGGGGCGGGGTGTGCTCGCTCTGGTGTTGAGCGTGGGGCTGTCCTGCGCCGACCTGCTCAGGCCGCCAGGCCAGGCCCTGGCTTTCCTCCTCGTCAGAACCCACGTCAGGGCCACCTTATCTGCTTCTGTGAGGTCCTTGTCCTCACGTGCTGCTGAGGTGTGCGCTGGGGGGCTGGGCAGTGCAGTGACACCTCCCTTTCACGGTCTGGTATCTCTGGGTAGTTTCTGAGGGGACTCTGCCTGCTCCCGTCCTACTTCTCTTCAGGGCACATTCCACATGTGGGTCTCTGTGGGCAGTAGCTGCCACGGAGCATGTGGCGGGCCATCGGGGGGCCGCGGGGCGCAGAGCCTTTGTCCCTCGTGGTCGGGAGCGGGGAGGATGTGAAGTCTGACCATCAGGAGCCCCAGCTCTGCGGCCGGGCCGCTCCTCGCAGGGATTCCCGAGGGGCCCCCGCCAGCGGGCACCTTGTCTCAGTTACTGCAGCCAGATGCTGAGTAAGGAGGTGGACGCCTGTGTGACGGATCTGCTGAAGGAGCTGGTGCGCTTCCAAGACCGCATGTACCAGAAAGATCCAGTCAAGGCTAAGACCAAACGCCGACTCGTGCTGGGGCTGCGGGAGGTCCTCAAGCATCTGAAGCTCAGGAAACTCAAGTGCATCATCATCTCTCCCAACTGTGAGAAGATCCAGTCGAAAGGTACCGAGCACTGTGGCCCCCGGCCTGGCTGCTGGGGCGGGTTTGGTTTTCTTTGTTCGTACCTGAGGGCTGTGTTTGCAGCTTCACCTGACCACCCAGTGTCCTGCTCTCGGAGGCAGCCAGGCCCCTGTGGGTGCCGGCTAATGGTCCGGCCAGTCGGTGCAGGCCTCTGGCGGGGCGGGGTGGAGAGGAGGTGGGGGGCCTCCAGAGCTCATGCTGCGGGAATCCTGTGACCGGCAGCCCGGCAGCCCGGCACTCCATTGCCAATTGACTTGCTCAGTCTGTGAGCACTCCCGGCTTGTCCAGGGGCTTGGCCACTTTACCGGCCCTGGCAGGTTGGCTGTGTTTTGTGGGATGCAGCGGGCTGGGTGAGGTGACGGACATGGGCTGTGTGTTAGAGGGACGGGTAGTCAGCAGCCTGTGTCCTGTGTCTTCATTTGCCGGGGGGCCGAAGGGAGCCTTCCCCGGGCACGGGCCTCTCTCCCACGTTGGACAGGTCACCTTGCAGGGCCGAGTCTGGATCCTACACTGAACTTTCCTGGTTTCCGTTTCGCAGCTGGAGACTTGAGGTTTCCTGGCTTGTGTGGGGCCCCCGGGGTCTGAGAGCAGCCGCTGGACCTGCTCACTGCCCGGCCAGCTCGCCCTGGTCCTAGCTCGGGGCAGGCCCTGACACTGGAATAGGGCAGAAGGGGACTTCGGGCCCCTGTGGTCCGGCTGTGTGTTGGCCGTGCCCCTCCCTTGGGTCCCCTCACAGCTCTGGGCTTCAACACGAGTCTGCTCTCCAGCTCCTGGCCCGTGGCCTGAGCCTCCTCCAAGACCGTTGGTGCCCGGGGCGCTCCACAGCTTCACCTGGGCCCCTTGGGGCGCTCTGCACCTCCCTGCGGCTGTGCCCTGGGGGCGGCCTCCCGGCTCCTGCTGGGGAGCGGGCTGTGCTGACGCGGCTCGAGTGCTGAGGGAAGGCCTGTGCTGGGGCTCGCAGCCCAGCCTCCCGGCTCTGCGCCCGCTCTCCGTCGTCCTCCCTCCTCTCTGGAGGCGGCTGGGCGCTGCCCTGTGCCCGAGGCTCTGGGAGGAGGGTGGGTGGCTCACGGGGCCCCCCTGCGCTGCTGTCCTCTCAGCCTTTCCTTGGTTCTGTTTTCTGTTAAGGAATCCTCTAAGCTTCAGCAGAGTTCCCCATTTCTGCTATCATTTCCAATTTCCGGGAGCAGTTTTGTTGTCCTGAGGCCTCCGTGTTTGTTGCCGCCGCCGCTGCTCTGGGGCCAGATGGGCACCCTGAGTCTCATGCAGAGAGGGTGTAGGGGTGCGTCCGCCCCTAGAAGCGCAGGGCCCGGCGTTGCCTGGGTGACGCAGGTGTGCACGCCAACTGCCCTCACCTCCTCTGAACGTCCGTCTGCTGGAACGTGCCCGGACGCTGGGCTGTAGACGGCGGGCTCGGGGCTCCCCCACTCGCCCCGCCGTCAGGTCGGCGCGCCCAGTCGTCCGTTTGCGTCCCAGCTTCCTGCCCTCGTCTCGGGTTCTCCTGTGATTCGTGTCTTTAACAAACAGACCAGGGAATGAGTATGTGTGTGCAGTGGGCACCACGCCGTGCTTCCCCTGTGAGCTGCCTTTCTCCTGATGGGGGGGTTGCCTGGCTCGAGAGGCATCTGCGTTGGCGGCAGGTTCAGCTGCGTTCGTCGTCATCCGTTCTTGTGCGTGTTTTTATTTGAGGCCGAAGGAACTCGATTCTTCTTGGAAATGTCGCCAATGGCTTGCAGTATTTTAAAGGTGGAACTTGGCATCCTGGCCTTGGGCTGTGTGGAGTACCGTGTGCGGAGCGGCATTTTGCCTGGTAATGCTGAGCTTGAATTGTACGTGGCACTTGTCTTGAGCATTTTGCTTGTTCTGAGTGTGTTGTCGTCAGTCCTGGGAAGTGGGCCCTTGGAGATGCTTTCAGCTCCCACTGAGCCTGCGGGCTGGGTGCTGGGTGGAGCAGAACTGTCTAGGCTTGCCACTGTCAGGCCCAGTCTCCCAGAGTCTCTCCCAGGGGAGTCCCACAGGATGCGCATGTGGGGTGCCGTCTGCAGGGACCATGAGCCTCCTCATTCCCACCCCGTAGCCCCTCTTACCAGTTAGCATGGTGGGTGCCCTCCGGAAACCCAAGTCCTGACGTCAGCCACAGGCCACCTGGAAAGCAGGCCTTTGAAGGGACAACAGCCATGGCGCCACTGCGCGGAAAGCATTTGTGGTCGGCCCCGGGGCTGGGGGACACGAGGCAGAGAGAGACCACGTGGCAGGCGTCAAGGGGCACGGGAGTCTCCGGCGGGAAGTTGGGAGTAACTGTAGTTCTAGCTGAGGCTCTCGCGCCCCTCTCCCGCCGTCTCCCGCCTGCTTTCCCTGCCGGCCCAGAACTGAGGTCTTCCTTGAGTGTCTGTCCCCAGAGCTTGCTTCCTCCTCTCCTTCCTTGGTCTTCAGGTGGACCTGGGTCGGGCGTGGGCAGAGCTAAGGGATGTGGGGCCTAAGTTCATCTCTGGTGACACTGGCTGCAGAGTGACGTCCCAGTTCCCAGAGCAGCGGATGTGCTATTTTCTCTTGAAAGAACATTGGATGATCCTACAATTAGTGCCAGGTGACAGGGCCACAGGAGACATTTTCTTCTCCGGCAGATGTCGTGGGCCCTGTCCGTAAGTCCGTCTGCACGCAGGTTGCTGGGGCCGTGCCGTGCGGTGAGCCAGGTGCTAGGTTTCCTTTCAAGGAGTAAGCCCCCCAGATGCCTGCAGCCCCCCAGAGGCAGCCAGCATTGCCACATTTGATGGGTTCTTGGTAGTCCGGGTAGCCAGAGAGGTCTGGCGTCCCGGCGCTGTGGGCCCCTCGCGGGGAGCTCACCAGCAATCTGGGGGCCCAGCTGTGAGCACCGTGCGCACACTTGCTTTGCTCAGACGGTACCGACAGACATCCTGGCTCTTTCTAGACGTCTACAGCTGTGAACAAGGACGCACCTTGCATGCTGTCCTTTCTACTTGTGGGAACATCTCTGTGAGGCCTCACCGAGAGCGCAAGGGCAGGTGCATCTGAGGGTCCATGGGTTACGCCCCTGCTGCTTGTTCGAGCGGTGCACCCAGCGCGGCTCGTGCCTGGTGCCCGGCTCCAGCTCCGGCCCCGGCTCTGGGGAGGCTGTTTGCATTTTTCTTGGGAGGGGAGGACGAGCAGCCTCTTTCTTGTTGAAGAGCTTGGTGGTTTCAGTGAACTGTTGGTTCATGTTCTTTGCCCATTTGTCTTTTGGGATTTGACCTTTTTAATAGTGACATGTGGCTTTTTATATAATAAAGCTCTTTGGGTAAGAGTTGTAATTGTTATTTTGGTTTGTCATTTGCCTGTTTTTTAAACGTTTTTTGGCTGTGCAGAGACTTTGGGTGTTGTTACTATACTGATGTTTTTTATTCTTGTGATTTTATTGCGTTTAGATTTTATGGCATTTCTCCACCTTAACACTCCAGGATTATTAGTAGGTTTTTTAATATTGTTTTTCTGGTTCTTCCATGTTTTCATTTTTGTTTGCTTAGGTAGACTGTATTTCTTCTCAGAGGGATCTTTCCAGAGGCCGACCCAGTTGCCCTTTCCCTGCTGCCTCACAGTGCTCCTTCCGCCAGAGCCTCTGTTCTGCACCCCGCATCCCCACCTTTACGCTCTCATACCCGATGATGCTAGCCTCATGTCATCTTCCTTTTTCAAAAGGCTGGTTCTCACTTGTGTATTTTTTTTCATATTCTTTATTCCTCAGGAGTAAGCGTATTTCAAAGTTTTAGGTTGACACAGAATTGGTCTGTTGTGCCTGGGATGAGTATGGCCGAGGCATAGGTGCCTCCATGTAGATGTTCTGTTGTGTCTCTGGAGCGCCTGGAAGCCGCTCTGTGCAGCTTCTGTACTTGGGACAAACCTGTTCCTGCCTGCGGTGATCTTCCGTGGCTGTCCGTGCGCGTCCTCTCTGGCCCCACTGGCCTGTGTGAGGACTCGTGATTTCCGCGTGACGTGTGCACAGACACACACGTGTACTTCTCCCGTAGTAGAGATTCGGGGCTGCTGGGCCCCCCGCGTGGCGGGCACATCACCTGCACGCACAGCCCCCCTTGGTCCTTCTCACCATGCCTCTCCCGCTCTCCCGGCGCACAGACCCTACCTGGCACCTTGCTTGGCAGCAGGGCGGGTGGTGGAGGGCAGGGAGCCCGCGGCCGGGCCCTGTTGGCATTGGATACTTGGCGACCTCTCTGCTCCAGGGTCCCATCTGTGCGGGCGCGGCCCCTCCCTTGCCGGGTTCTTGTGCGCACACAGGAGCTCGTACTCGATAGGCAGTTAACTAGTGGCCCAGAGCACAGTGAGCGTTCGGTGACTGTTCACTAAGTGCAGTACTGTGATTTATAAGCGACACCTATTTGGTCACGCAGATGACCGAAAGAGATTTCTCCTTCCTGTTGGGTTTTTGTCTTCGGTTTCTGCCTCTCACCTTCTAATACTCTGGATGACTATGGTAAAGGTGTTATGGTAACGAAGGTGACCTTCGGACCTGCCCAAAGGCAGGGCCTGGCTGCCAGGGGGGCCAACCAGGTAACCGGGGGCTTGGAAGCTCGGTCCCATCCCCACCCCACCCCTACCCTTGGCCTCCGGGCGGGCGGCTGGAGGTTGAATCAGCCAAAGGCCAGTGATGCAGTCAGTCCTGACTGTGGTGAAGTCTCCCTAATCCCCCCGGACGGGGCTAGGAGAGCCCGCTGGTCGGCGCCCGGGGTCGGGTTGCGGGGGAGGAGTGGTGCCGCAGATGGGCAGGCCCTGCGTCTCTGCCCTGGCCGGGATTGCGGTGCCGGTCCCGTCCTCAGACTGGGCAGACGCAGGAAGTGATTCCCTGCGGTGAGTCCTGTGAGCCTCTAGCCCATGACGGGAGTGTGAGGAGAGCATGTCGGAGCCCGCAGCGGGCAGCCCTGTGGTCAGAGGCTCGGGTGACACTGAGGCTTGGCGGGCCCGACGCGGGCATGGGCGGGCCCGCGCTGCTGGTGTCTGAGGTTTGCTTGGTGCTGTGGGTGCCCACCTCCCGCCCCATGTTGGGATTCGGGGCGGGGGCTCTTCTAAAAGACAGAGGCCTCACTTCCCGTTAGGCTAATGACAGAGGGGTATTTTATTCCGCTGAGGATGTGTCTCTTCGGGAGAGTTGATTTCTCCCACGTGGCTGAGAGAACGATGCCCTTGCGGTGGCGGCCTTGTCCTGGTGGTGTCAGGCACGGCCCGCTGGGGGGTGTCGCCACGTGCAGAAAAAGCCCTTTGCGGCCAGTATCAGCGCCACGCCGCGTGAGACGCATCTCCCTGTCGTTCTGTTGTCCCTGACCAGGTGGGCTGGACGACACGCTGCACACCATCATCGATTACGCCTGTGAGCAGAATATTCCCTTCGTGTTTGCGCTCAACCGCAAAGCTCTGGGGCGCAGTTTGAACAAGGCCGTTCCCGTCAGCGTGGTGGGCATCTTCAGCTACGACGGGGCCCAGGTGAGCTGGGGGTGTCGGGGGTGGGAGACACGGGCTCGCGTGCAGCGTCCCCACAGGCAGCCCTGAGCCTGGGGGCGGCAGGCTGGAAGGCAGGACGGCGCATCCCCTGGGGTCAGGGGTGTCACCCGTGCGCTCCCTTCTGCCGCAGGACCAGTTCCACAGGATGGTCGAGCTGACGATGGCCGCCCGGCAGGCGTACAAGACCATGCTGGAGAAGGTGCGCCGGGAGCTGGCCGGGGAGCCTGGGCCCCCGGCTCCGGCCAGCCCGCCTGTGCAGGGCCCCGGCGGCTCGGCGCAGGACGGCCCCCCTGCCCCTGCGCCCGGGAGCGAAGAGCCATACTACAGTGAGTGCTGGGGAGGGCTGAGCATCCTCAAGCTCCGCGTTGACTGAGGAAGGGGCAGAGCGCCCGGATAGCGGCAGGGCCTCTCGGCGGCAGAAGGCCGGGTTGGTCCCAGCTGTCGTCTTCGGGCGGGGCTCAGACCTCGGGTAGCACCTGCAGAGTGCGGCCTTGAGCCCCGCGGTGTCCCCGGTGGAAGGTTAAGGCCAGCGGGCGCCGCGGGCTCACGGATACCAACAGAGCGGGGCGGCGGGGGTGGGGGGGTGGCTGGGGGGGTTCCTTGCCAGGCCCGTGTAGGGGCCTGAGCCCCTGGGCAGCGTGCTTCCCAGTCGAGGCTGCCCCGACTGTCCCCGCGTGTCGCTCAGCTGTGCCACGTTGTCGTTTTTAGTTGAAATCTGGAGAAGACACCTGGAAGCGTACAGTCGCTGTGCTCTGGAGCTGGAAGACTCGCTGGAGGCTTCAACCTCTCAGATGATGAACCTGAATTTATAGAAGAGTTGTTTGTGTGTGTTGTGTGGGGTGAGGAAGGGGTGCGTGAGACTTTGGGGCCTTCCTCTTCTCAGGTCTCCGTGGACCTGCTGTGTTCTGTGTGGCTGCTGAGTTGGGAGGTGAAGCCAGGATGCGTATCCCGGGAAGGGGCCCTCGGCTGTGCTGGTGGGAGCCTCGCCCAAGAGCCCCGAGATGCAGCTTTGGATCTGAGACACGGAGTCTGGAAAAGCCCGGACGTGTAGCCCCCTGAGTTCTCTGCTATGAAGGAAACCCCCTCCGATGCGGAAGAGCTGAGCCGTGTCAGTGTGTGGAAGGTGCCGGGGCCGGGTGGTGGGGGGTGGGGGCCTTTCTCCGGACCTGGCTTTTTGGCCGCAAGATTTGGGGATACTTGGGAGGGTCTGCTAAAATGAGCCTCAGAAGGAAAATCGGTTCTCTAACCTGTGACCTTTTGACATGAATTACTCATTTTTGTCTTTATTTTTCAAAGAAGCCGTGTATATTGGAGTTCCTAAATTTCAGTTTTGATAATCTGCAGATGTTTTCTTTCTTTCGTAAATGAACGTATTCTGAATGTGGTTTCTGTCTTGGAGGCCAGCAGGATAGAAGTTTGCTTTCATACTTTGCTGTAAGTAAGAGGGCTTATTTATTTTGAATAAAGAGCGATGATTTGGTCACCCCGCCGTCTCAGGCTTCTCGGGGTTCCTAAGTCCCAGTGCAGCCCCTCAGGTGCGTTGTGTGAAGGGAAGAGGTTTGTGGTGGGGACGCTGCCTCTGCCCGTGCGCCCCAGTACCGTCACCCAGGCGGCGGCAGGACGGAGCTTCGCCGCCGGGCGCGTTCGGGGCGAGCCGCGGAGCACATTGGCCTTGAGCGCACCGTGAGGGGCGATCGGTCGTGTCGGGCGTCGTACGTCTGAGAGGCGAGTGGCCCGTGGTGAGGTCAGGGCGGGCCGTGTGGCCGGGGTGGGGCGGGGGAAGCGTTTGTCCTGTCGAGCGCACACCTGCCATTCCTAGCGCGCCCGCTTCTCAGAGCCCTTGAAGTGGGGGCCGTGTGATGCCCCGGGTTTCTCGGGGGAGCCGGGAGGAGCGCACAGGGCAGGGCTTTCCCGCCCTGCATCACCGGGTGCCCTGTTCACTGTCGTGGGTTTGAAAATCGGAGATGGGAGGTCCTGCAGTTCACCTACAAGGAGAGCGTGACGTTTACGGTTTACGGCTTGCAGCAGGGGATGCCGGCCTTTGCTGAGCGCCCCGGCCCCGGCCCCTGGCGGGTGCGTGGCGCTGCTCTGGGGGCAGAGAAGCCGAAGCAGAGCAGGGAGGCGTGAGCTCTGCGTCGGCCCCGGAGGGTGCGCTGCTCGGGTGACTTACTGCTGGGGTTGGCCCGGCCACGGTGTCCCTTCCGTGGCAGAGGCTATGGCGGCCGGTGACGCCCCTCCCAAGCACACGCTCTGCTCACTGTGTTTATTTCTGTTTATTTTCTCAACAGAGCAGAAAACCCAAACTCCTCTTCTAAGCACGGGTCCCACCAGAACCCTCCCCACTGGGCTCAGGGCACACGTCTCGTGGTGGTGTCGGCGTGAGGTGCTCCGGCCGCGTCCAGACCGGGGCCAGTCTGACGGCCGCAGGGAGCAGCCCCCGGGAGGGCCTGGGCTGTGGAGCCCGTCCTGCGGGAGCTGTGACGCGTGCCCCGCCGGGCGCGGCCGGCGCTCTCACGGGCGACGCTGGTGCGCTGGGTGCTGGCCTGTCGGGCGGACCCGGCGTCAGAACGGGGAGTCGGGCGCAGGCCGCACTCACAGGGAGGGACGGCTCTGTCTTGAACAGAGGCGTTGGGTTTGCGCAGACCGGTGTCCGGGTGTAGCCGTCGCTCCTTCAGCAGCACGTGTCCGCGGGGCCCAGGCTGCGCGGGTCAGGCCTTCGTGTCCCGCACGCACGGCGCGCCCCCAGGGTGCAGCGCTCGTCAGCACAAGCTCCCCCCAACCGCCCCGTGGCACCGCCGGCGCCACCACACGCGAGCTCAGGGCACGCACAGAACCTCGTGGAGCAGCTCCCATGCTTGGTGACGCGCAGAAGCCCGCAAAGCCTTCAGTGCCCGGGAGCTCCTGGAGGGTGGGGGGCAGGGGGGATACCTCCTGGTCCCTCGAGGTGTCAGGCCAGTTCATGCCACTGGTGTCGCCGGGCCTGGCCCCTGGCGTGTGGGAACTCAGGGCAGGGTGAGCTGCACGCTCCGGGCCAGGACAGTTCGGCAAAGGCAGGCAGCCACGCGGCCCAGCAGCGGTGCTTCTGGAAAAGGAGCCGTCACGCACACCGCTGTCCGCACGGTGTCCGCACACAAGCCGCGGCTTCTTAACCGTCTTGGTGTCCGTTTCTGCCGGACAGACTCTTCTGTGCCTCGTAAGCACCGAAGTTTTTAAAACTGTTCTGGCTGCTGTCGGAGAGGTTGAGGTGGGGCCACGTCTCAGCAGGCCAGGTGGCCGCCCACTGTCCTGGGGCGTCTCCGGGGGTGGTGTGGCCAGGGGCAGCAGGCTCGGCTGATGTCTACAGGCGGTCCTTGTCACAGCTTTCCTGAAAGAACATCGCAGCCCCCTTTGAGTTCCTGGCAGAACAGAGGCCCTTCTTGCCGCCCGTGCGCCACTGTCCTAGACGCGGGAGGGGGCCTTCGGGGAGGGGGTCCTGCGTGGGCTAAGCTGGAAGGGATCAGTGGGAAACGCCCAACCTGTGTTGGCAACAAGGAGAGGCCTTGGGGGGCCACTGAAGGGGACGTTTGAAGGCCTGTAGTCGAGCCATGGGGCTCGTCGTCCAGTAACTCCCAGGCCTGGTGGCTGCTCAGATGGCAGCAGCAGCGACTCCGGAGTGAGGGACGCCTGTTCTGCACCCCCCCCCCCCCCACGTGCCGGGACCGGGCTCCCTGCGGGCTCAGCAGTCACCCTGCTCGGCCAGGGTCCAGCCAGAGCCAGCGGCCCTGCCTGCACACGCACCCCCCGACTGGCGTCTCCTCGAGACGCCCCGCCCTGCCCCCGCCATGCCGACGCTCCCCAGGCATCTGCCCGGAGCTCAGAGCTGCGGGCTCCAGGAAGCAGAACGGCTCCGTGGGCCAAGCCCCAAGGCAACGGACGCCCTGCCGGCCCCTGCCCGCCGTCGGCCTGGCCACGTACCCACGCCTTCCTCCAGCTCCGCATCATGCGGTCATGCTCCCCGGCCACAGCCCTCCAGGCGGCGAGCTCTCTGGTCCACTGCTCCTGGTGGGTCGCCTCTGCAAGACAAGGCGGGGGAGGGGCCAGGTGTCAGCCTCGCAGGCCCTCGTGGCAGCCTGGGTTACTGAGGCCATCCCGAGAGCCAGGTTTTGGGTGAGGTGTTTGCTCCTCCAAGCCTGCCTTCCCCAGGCCACCAGCCCCAGTAGCAGCTGTTCCCCGCGGTCACGCTGGCCCTGTCCTCACCTCGCTTGAATTTTCTACCCAGGCAAGAGAGGGGCTGGCTCCCTACGTCTTGGGGCTGGTGCTGCCTCCCCTGGGAGGCCTGTCGCAAGTGAGGCCGGGGAGTCCGCACGGCTCAGCAGGCTGGCATCCCAGGACGCCCAGCTGCTACCTGCTCCGCGTGGCCATGTGGGAGCTTGAGGTTTTGGGAGTTACATGCGGGGCTGTCGGGACGGCACGAGCCCAACAGCCGTAGTTTCTCTGTCAAACTGCGTCCCTGATCCGGCCCGCGGCTCATGTTGCTAATTCCATAAACGGGTGCTAGGGACCTGAGCCCCAAGACACAAAGCAGAACTCATTCTTCGAGCACAACTGGGGCCTGGGCTTCCCGGGTGGCCGCGGGGTAAGGGACAGCGCTCCAGAGGTGCCTTTGGGGGTTCTTAACCCACGGGGCTCTGCAGGGACTTCCGGTTCCCATCCTGCGAGAAGCCCTGCGTTCTCTTAGCCCCACGCAGCTTCAGGGGACATGGTGGGCTGGGCAGGCAAGCAGGCACCGGGCTGTCCCAGCTGCGCTGGCGTCTCTGGCCGCCTCGTGTGTGTGCGGGCCGCAGCGTGACTCGGGTGGAACCGCCTGCAATCTGTGTTGGGTCACGCTGCTCACAGGCTGCTGAGCTGGGTGACCGCGGGGCGGGGCAGAGCGGGGGAGGGGGAGCAGGGTCACCGTGAGCGCCCTCCAGCCTGTTTGCCGACAGTGCCTTTCTCGTGACTTCTGCGGGACCCCTCACAGTTTGTGAGTCATGTTTACGTGATGATTCCGATTGTCCTGATGGCAGCACGCAGGGCACTTCACAGAAATGGGAAGAACGGATTCTGGGCAGGAGTGAGTATTTGCAGCTTTTTTCTCTCCCCAAACTCACACCAGAAGGATGGGCCTTTTCAGCATCTCTCAGCACAGATGTAAATTCTTGAGAATGGACTGAGAAGGGGCGCCTGGGTGGCTCAGATGGTTAGGCGTCTGCCTTCGGCTCAGGTCATGATTCCAGGGTCCTGGGATCGGGCCCCACATCGGGCTTTCTGCTCAGCGGGGAGCCTGCTTCTCCCTCTGCCTCTGTCTCCCCCCTGCTCATGCTCGCTCGCTCTCCGTATTTGTGTCTCAAATGAATAAAAATCTTTAAAAAAAAAAAAGGATGGACTGAGAATAGGAGGGGAACCACAAAAACCTGGAAGTTGAAAGCAGAGGCACCGGTGGGGATGGAGCAGAGCCGGGAAGGCTGAATTCTAGGCCGGCAGCAGGGAAACTGAGGCACACCCTCCCAGAGACGTTCGGGTGCTGGATAGGCTGTCACATGCACGTTGCCTCCAAGGCTGTTTAGAAGCGGAAGCGTGGCCCCCAAGGCCGCTCCCCGCTCTGCACCGCGCCAAGTGGTCCAACATCTGGGAGGATAGTTCCAGAAAGAGCACAGGACATAAAGTGGAGCAGAGTGAATGCATGTTGAGGAAAATCTCCTGGAGAGTGAGGGCAGGCTTCCCGGCGGCATGGGCCCGGCCAGGCCTGGAGACACCGAGGCGTGAGTGTTCCCCGTGTGGATGGCAGTCCCGGAAGGCCACGGGTGGAGCGCGTGGAGCTGGCAGCCGTGGGGCGAGCGTCCGCGTGGCAGGGGAGGGCTTTGAGGCCAGAACCGCACAGCCAGCCAGCTCCTCTCGGTGTGGAGACCGAGTGTGGGGGACCTCGGGCTCTCAGAACGCGGACCTCCCGGCCCCGCCAGACAGAAACCCGGGTGAGACGGGGCGGGCACATGCACGCGGGGGCTGCTGTGGGGGGCCGTGTGGACGGGGCGGCAGCGGGGGTGGGAGGGCCGCCCACTTACCGTGTCTCCTGACGGTGACCTGCGCTCTGGAGGTCTTGTTGCCCGCGGAGGAGAGGACGGAGCAGCGGTACTCGGCGCTCTCTCGGGTGGCGTCCTGCAGCCAGCTGAGCACGTGGGTCCTGCCATCGAGCAGCACGTGGGTCTGCGTGGGGACACACGTCTGCAGTTCACGGCCATTCTTCTCCCAGATGAAGTGAACGTCCGCAGGACCTGGGGACACAGAGACCTCTCCGGACCTGGTCCTGCTGCCACCACCGGTGACCAAAGGCTCTGCCTCCGCGCGGCCACCTACTCTCCCAGCACCTAATGGGAGGGGGTCCAGCCAACCTGGGGGTGGGGCGACTCTCAGGGGGTCAGTACGGGGGCCAGGGCGTGGAGCAAGGCTGAAGGCTCCTCTGTCCCT